AATCTGCGCATTGGCCCAGAGCATCTATGCACCAAGTTTCATCAAAAACCGATGTATGGTTCTTGAGATAGCAGTGGAACAGTTGGACACACATACACATACACATACAGACACACCAACTGCAAAGACTTCCATTTTGTGCTTCGCACATGGGAGTCAAAAATGTTATTTGAAAAAAGTGTATAAACAAATAAACATACACACACATTTTGAAATAAAAACTGATCCAAAGGATTGAATAATGTGTTTGTTAAAATAATTACAATTGTGTCTGATTTTTTCTGATTCAAGTGATAACATCCACATCTCATTGCCACGTATTCATGATCACAAATAATTACAATATTCATCTTTTTGTCTTCACAGGATGAAATAATTTATCAATAAATGAAGACAATCATCAAAAAAGATATCACCAGCATTCTTATTTGCATTAAAAAGACACAAATAAAATATCTTTAAAATCTTATAGATCTGTTTATTATTCTGAATTTATTTTGCCAGCCAAGGTCATCTTCTCACCACTATTACCTTGGTAGATCCTGTTTAATGAGAGTGTGTTAAAGTACGCCCTCTATGGCAATTCAACACTCACTATTTTGTTTTATGTCTATTGCTAAATGCTAGGGCAACTCTGATTGGACAGATGTTTTACCAGCAAGACCAATCAGAATAGTTGTACTACAGAGATCAAATACGCCACCAGAATCACACATGGGTCCTTGCGATTCGAAAATTGATCTAAATTCTTGCTATTCTTTCTATTGCCTCTACTACATTTGATCCATTTACTTGATACAGAGTATGAATAAAAGACAATGCTTCATCATTAGTTTTCATTTCAAATTATTATCACTACACCCGCTGAAAGTCTCTACGATTAGCTGAATTGAACGGGAATGGGAACAGGAATGCAAGGTGTTAAGCAATAAGCAAAATGTGTTGTTGTTAATGGCATATGCAATAATTCACTGGCAATAACAACATTTCTACATTTAAAAGATTTCCAGATTGTCTAGTTGTGAAGCAAGATCCACATCACTATCCCACGTATCAGTATGTTGCCTGGCAACAGTCTCCAAATGTTTGGCATTATCTTTGCTTTGTTGTACTATCTTGGACATTTCATGTTTCTCAATATCGCCCTGTTTTGAGATATATATAATCTCATTAACTTCATCCTCAATCTTATTACAGTATATTCTTGGGAAAATAATCTTCAAATCATCTAAAATTGATTTCTTTAGTTCCTTATCACGGCATACTAAGTTGAGAATAAACAAACCTGAAAATCAATGCAAATATTATGGTATATTAGTAACTTAACCTTTTCACCACCAGTTCCCTTTTTTCATCACAAATTAGTCCTGTATAGCCAATTGTTTGGATTAAAAACGAAACACTGACTCAAATTTTGTCTGTTGGCTTCAAAATTAGGGTTCATTTCCAGAAATATTGAAGGGTTTAAGAAAAAAGAGCTGAAAAATTTGGGCGAGAAAGTCTGGTCATGAAAAAGTTAAACAATTTATGTAACTGAAACTTTTGTGTTGGTGAAAACATATTTCGAAAAAGTGAGAATTATTTTCAGCACAAAATAATGTGCACATGACACGGTGGACGGTCTAACGTGGGTACTACTGAACAACACTTGGAATTCATCGATTTCTGTTTTCAATGAAGATGTATGAAAAATATGAAAATCTTGTTTTTTAAACAAGGAAGACCATCAAAAGTTCAATGCAGGATAAAAAACCTAATTTCTTAAATTTGTTCAGCAATATTTTCCCTGTAAAACTTACATCCATATTATTGATCATAAACATAAGTTTTACCTTATTTTCAGGAATGGTACAACATTTATCATTTATAGTCAGTGTGTGTGTGTGTGTGTGTGTGACATATATTAAAAAAATATTTTAGAATATAAACAACTTTATAACTTTTAAAGATTAGAATACAAAATGTAGCTCAAATAAAAAGAGAGTTTATCATTGAAAAATGAGATGAATTGTGTCAGAAACAGTTCAGAGCCCCCAACCCTCAAACTAATGAATCTAAGTTTTTTTCAGCCATCGATCTTTTGACCTTACATGTTATTTAAAGTACAGACCCGCCAGAAAGTATTTACGCACCACACTATAGGCAGCTACTACCTACGATATCATACAATAAAATAAACTCAATAACGGTTTGAATAAATATATTTATATATCTAATAAAAGATGCGTTTTTACACACAATAAAAACAACAAAATTGTCATTGTCATGCAGGATTGAATAAAAACGGCAGTCTGAACGAAACAGTGAAAAAACGTTCGAATTCTCTATGGAGAATACCGTGTAAACGCAAG